CCCCTCCCCCCGGCCTCCTCTCAACCCCCAGCGCCTTCCCCTTCCCGAGCCCCTGCCTGCTGCCCTGCCTGCTGCCCTGCCTGCTGCCCTGCCTGCTGCCCTGCCCTCTGCCAGGATGCAGCAGTTATCGGGGCAGAACAACAGGGCTTTGTTCTCATCAGGGGATAAAAGACAAGTGGAAGAAGGGAACGGAGAGGTCTCCTAGGCTGTCCCATTGCTCGAACTAGGGTCAGCTCTCTCCTGAGACGCATCAGTTGAATGTTCTTAAACCTCAAGAGACAGAGACTTCCCTTCCCTGCCCCCTTCCTCCAGGGGCAAACCGTTCCTGGGCTTTCTTGTCCAGGTGGTTATTTCTTCTTTGCGCCAGCTCCAATCTCTTCGGCGATAATTTTAGCCCAGGACTCTGTCCTGTGCACAGTGGAAGTGGGAACTGGCCATTCCCTTCCTTTTTGCTGCTGCCTTTTATGTGTCTGACCCCCCCCTTATCCTATTCTCCCTCCTTCTCCTCTTCCCTGGACCAAAACCCCTGACTCAATTGCTGATTCCTTGTGGGTCATATTTTCCAGACCTCTGCACCTTCTTCTTGCTTTGCCAAATGCCTGAATGATTTTGGAGCTTACGCCTCTCGGGATGGGGACCCTGTCCTGTGACGGGCTCGGAGAACAGGGCTTGGGGCCGGATTTGGAATGTGCTGAGCCCAAGCGGATCTGGTCAGGAGCAGCCCCAGCGCTGCCCTGATGGTGGGACCCCAACTGCTGCCCCCCAGCCCCGAGGTGCCCTCTCTGGGGAGGAGAGGAGGGATGTATTTTCCTGTCCTTCATCACAGAATGGTCAGGGTTGGAAGGGACCTCTGGAGATCATCTAGTCCAACCCCCAATCTGCTCATCCCTGACTGGAAACCTTCTCTTCCCTCCCAGAAGTGTGTCGGGTGGGTTTGAGGGGGTGTGTGATGAGGGGTGGGGTGGGCGAGGGGCTGGGGAAGCTCCTGTGCCCTGTGCTGGGGCTGGGGCTTGCTGCAGCCTGTGTGCTAAAGGAGGAGCCGCTGCCCGGGCGCTCACGCAGCGTTTGTGGTGTCGTACATGCACACACTTACTCCCGGACGCACTTCCTCCTCCTTCAGGCACAACACTAGGCTTCCCGCAGCAGTCTCGGGCGTCGGATTTCATAAAATAATTAATTTAATTGAAAGGCGCAGCAGCCCTGGGCTGGGTGCCTCCAGAGAGAGGGACGCTGAACAAAGGAGCCCCTGAGCAATTATACCCTCGTGATCCACACACCCGCCCTTCTGCGCTGTCCGCACATCTTCTAGTCCGATGGTGATTTTTGGTCCGGGGTCTTCGAACATCTCATTGGATTCTTTTCCCTGTGTCCGGGCAGGCAGGCAGGCTCTTATCTTGTTGATTTGCAGTTTCAACCGAGGGTTGGAGCCTCCGTATCTTCTGGTTTCCGTTCCTTGTGCGCCTGCCCTTGTTGGCAGAACATGGGGGAACTGAAAAGTCCTGGACTTGAGAGAAACACTGCCAAAGCATCAGTGCGATACCCGGCGCGTTCCTGTCCTAAAAGACTAAACAACGCTCTATCATCTGCTAGGAAAATTACGAAGAAGAATAGCTTTCTCACGGCCTAAAGGTTTCAGCCAATCTAGCTACTCATGCTGAGCAGAGCTAAGAAAGCAGCACAAATCACACCAAATTATAATCCTAAATAATTTATTCTACTTAAAACTTCCTTATTTATACCAACCAATTAATATCCCTCAACACTGTGCCCCGTGAGACGGTGCTGGGGGTAGCGGGGAAATTCTTCTTCACGGGCCTGATGGGCGATTTCTTTGTATGGCTAATTACTGTCAGGAGCCGGTGGGGAGTTTCTTCGAGGAGAAGAGCAGATTTTGCCTCCTGTTTTCCCCGGGCATGTCCGCACGCAGCAGGCGCCAAGGCAGGGCAGAGCAGAGCTGGTGGGGTTAGTTGCAGCAGCGATGTCCTTCTGTGACCAGGGGAAAGCGCCCTACTTTGTCTCGTTCTTGCTCGTTTTTTATGATGCGGGGTTGGGCGCAGCTGCCCGGCAAGTGCCGGGGTGTGCCGGGTGGTTGTGGGTGCAGCGGGAAGGGCACAGCCTCAATTGCTCAATGTTTGCAGGGAGGTTTTGGGCAGGGAGAGGGTTAGTTGGGGCAGCACTTTTCACCCGGTGGGGAAAGCCCTTTGGCCTGGGAGGCAGAGCTGTTAGTGGGAGTCGGGAGAGTCATAGAATCATAGAATGGTTTAGGTTGGAAAGGACCTTGAAGATCATCGAGTTTCAACCCCCCTGCCATAGACAGGGACACCTCCTACCAGCCCAGGTTGCCCACGGCCACGTCCAGCCTGGCCTTGAACACCTCCAGGGATACACCTCCAGGGCCCAGGAGGGGTGGTGGGCTTGGTGGAGCTCCCCTGCCAGTCTCTTCTCCCCTTCCCATCTCTCTTCTCCCCTGTCTGTCTATCCTCTCTCTCCCAGGGCTACACCTCCTTCTGGAATGACTGCATCTCTTCAGGCCTGCGGGGCGGCATCCTCATTGAGCTGGCTCTGCGCGGCCGGATCCGCCTGGAGCCACTCTCCATCAGGAAGAAGAGGCTGCTGGAGAGGAAGGTGAAGGAGTCGCAGGAGCTGGGCTGGGGGCCTGACAGGCTTTTTGGGGCTTCGTCCACCCCAGTTGAGCGCGCTGGCGGCAAGCTTTGCCGAGGCAGCGCTGCATGCCGGGGCTGGCCCCGTTCCTTCAGGAAGGGAGCAGCAGGTCTGCGTCCAGCCTTACGCCATGTTTCCGCTTTGTCCTTCCAGGTGCTCTTGAAGTCGGATGCGCCGACTGGTGACGTCTTGCTGGATGAGACCCTCCGACACATCAAGGCCACGGAGGCTGCAGAAACGGTGCAGACCTGGATAGAGCTGCTCACTGGTAGGGCCAGTTAGAGATGCCAGCTCCCTTGGGGCCTGTCCCTGCCTCCTGACCTCTCTCTGCGGCTGGGCCATTCCCTTGCTTCGCTGGAGTTGGGCAGAATACCGACAGCAGAGCAGGAGAAGGATGAATGTGGGGGCAGAGAATGGTTTTCTGGGTCTTTTTTGTTGGGGTTTCCATGGAAGACTTGGACGTTGCTCCCCATTGCCTCTTTTTTCATGCTGAGTCTTCACCGAGTCTGGGGTCCAAGGTCCTGGGTAGAAGGGGCTTTCTCAAGGGATCTGCCCCAGGCTGTTGAGCCCTGTGGCTGCTGGGAGCTTTGCCAGCTTGGACTGATGGGAGAAGCGGGTCAGAGTCAGACCAAGGGGAGGAAGAGGGTTCCTGCGGTGGGCACGGGTGTCCATGCAAGCACAGATGGTCCTGGGCTGGAAGGAGCCTGGGTGCTGGGGTTGGGTGGCAAAGCCATGGCTGCCCCGGTGTTGAATGGGGTATTCTTTCCTGCAGGGGAGACCTGGAACCCCTTCAAGCTGCAGTACCAGCTGAGGAACGTGCGTGAGCGCATCGCCAAGGCTCTGGTGGAGAAGGGCATCCTCACCACGGAGAAGCAGAACTTCCTGCTCTTTGACATGACCACCCACCCTGTCAGCAACGCCACTGAGAAGCAGCGCTTGGTGAAGAAGCTCCAGGAGAGCATGCTGGAGCGGTGGGTGAATGACCCCCACCGCATGGACCGCAGGACTCTGGCTCTCCTGGTGCTGGCCCACTCCTCAGATGTGCTGGAGAACGTGTTCGCCAGCCTGGCAGACGACAAGTATGATGTGGCCATGAATAGGACCAAGGACCTCCTCGATATGGACCCCGAGGTGGAAGCTGCCAAAGCCAGGGGCACGGAGATGATCTGGGCTGTCCTGGCAGCCTTCAATAAGTCCTAAAAAGCCCCTGAGTCCCCCAAACCGGATAGAGGAGCCTCACCCCCTCGACACGAGGCCAGGGGTCTTTGGGCACGGTGTTCCCGCAGCAGTGGGTGGGCTCGGCTCAGGGGGACCGGGTGGTTTCGCTCTCCCCCCCAGGCAGGGCTGGGAGGGTGAGAGCACACCTGCCTGGGCAGGTCGCACACTCCTCCAAAGGCCGGTGCCTCTGGGAGAGCTGGTGGCAGCTCCTCGCTCCCCTTCCAGTGCTCCTTGCCCGTGGGCTTCCTTCTCGGGCCGGTGCTGAGCTGGGAGCTGGCAGAGCCCAGCCCTGCCTCCGCGTGCAGGAGCCGAGCTGCTGGGATGGACCAAACCCTGGCAGAAGAGGGGCTGTGCTCCCCGGGTGCTCCCAGCGCCCCGACTTCTCCAGCTGCCCCCCGTGGCTCCCTCCTCCACGCGCAGGTCTTGCCTTTGAGCTGCCTGGGCAGCGCAGATTCCCCTGCGGAGCACGACGACGTCTTCCGGGGGCAGGGGAGCGGGCAGGAGGCTGGTTCGGGGTGTGCGGCAGCCCTCAGCCCGTGTCGCCATCGAGGAGCGGCTCTGCAAAGGCCACGGAGCCCCCTGGGCTGTGCTCCGGCCACACACACGCTCTTTCTAGTAAGAGGGGAAGTTAAACTGTGATTTTTTTCGGGGTTTTTTTTGGTCCCTTTTCCCCCCTTTCCACCACCACTTTAATCTGTAGTTCATTTCAATGTATTTCTCTGCAGCCCGAGGGAGTCCTGGGTATTTCGGTGTGTCGTCGGTCTGCAGGGCAAGGGGAGCTGGCAGCGCCCGGCCGTGGTGAAGGGAGTCCTTGGGGTCCCCAGAGGCGACGGTGGCACTTGTGTCACCTGGCTGGGTGGTCTCAGCCATGTCCCTGCCTGCACCCAGCAACGTGGCCGCGGGGCCCGGTGCTGTCCCCTGACCCCCGTCCTGCGTGGCCCAGACCTGGGGGCACCTCGGGCTGCCGGTGGCGTCACCCCGGGATCCCGTTGCCTCTCGATAGGACTGTCCCCTCCCGCTTCCCGCCTGCCTGGGGCTCCCGCCAGCCGTCCCGACCCC